TGTCGGCTTGGGCGGGTGTGTTCGAGCGAGCTCTACATTTTTTGGGGGGAATAATTTATCAAGCAACTCCATTCCTACCATGTGGATACTTATATCACTGCAATGGTTGTTTTTTCTGTTCACCAGTGAAAGTGGTTTTAAATTAACTAATTAGCCTAATTTCAAGGAATAGCCCAGAATATGTGAACTTTATTTTAACAATGCAAAACATGTTATTCTTGATGACCAGTCAAAAGCCAGGAAGAATTTAACAGGTCAATCAACGCACAAGTGTTGTGTTCTGGCTGTTGAGCTACGAGCCATGGGATGTGGGAACTACAGTGCAAGTGAACAGTGTGGGATGGGGAGGGCTCCTTATCACCAGCTGTCAAGGTCAGTGGTCGAGCAGGGCTACGTTCAGCGGTTTGCAAAACGTACTCGTTAAACACAGGCAGAGCATTGTGAAATAAACTCAATGAGTGTCTGAAAAAGCCTGGTTTTATCATCAAGCATTCCAATGAGGGATAGTGTTTAACTGTAACTTTTATTAATAGCTTCCAATATGAGACTTTTCGGTCCTGCCTCATCAAATACTACCAAGATGAACACAAACAAACAAGGCACACGCGTGGAGGACAAAATCACTGCGCCAGCACAAACAATTCATTTATAACACACGAAAAACAAACTACTGGCCCAGGGCACAGTTGAGGCAATTAAATCTTGGTTTGCTGTAGAATTCGTTTCTTTGGAACTGTCAGCACAGAAAGACAAGTTTTAAAATTCATCTCCAGTTCTGCAAATATTTTCTAGTAGGAATCCACAACCTGCTCAGTGGCCAGTTGCAATGTTGGACAGCACAACTTCAATCAACAGTTCTGAGTTGATACAGGCAATTACCATTAATGTTATCAGTCTGGCCCCAATAGCTGCAGATCAAGCAATTCTGTTATCTATTGAATATATCGGAGTGTCACCAAGAAAAAACAACACGTCTCCAAAATGTGGCACCAAAAGAAACAATACCTCTTCAAAATGTAGCACTAGAAGAAACAATACCTCTTCAAAATGTAGCACTAGAAGTAACAATACCTCTTCAAAATATAGCACTAGAAGAAACAAAACGTCTCCAAAATGTGGCACCAAAAGAAACAATACCTCTTCAAAATGTAGCACTAGAAGAAACAATACCTCTTCAAAATATAGCACTAGAAGAAACAATACCTCTTCAAAATGTAGCACTAGAAGAAACAATACCTCTTCAAAATGTAGCACTAGAAAAAACAATACCTCTTCAAAATGTAGCACTAGAAGAAACAATACCTCTTCAAAATGTAGCACTAGAAGAAACAATACCTCTTCAAAATGTAGCACTAGAAGAAACAATACCTCTTCAAAATGTAGCACTAGAAGAAACAATACCTCTTCAAAATGTAGCACTAGAAGAAACAATACCTCTTCAAAATGTAGCACTAGAAGAAACAATACCTCTTCAAAACGTAGCACTAGAAGAAAATACCTCTCCAAAACGTGGTACTAGAAGAAACAACCACTGACTGACCAGGAAAATGTGCCTACCATCATTCAACCCATCTGTGATTGTCAGCGTCACATAGAAGGCATTGAAACAAGTTTAAAGACACTTGCTGATGCTGATACTGTCGTAACTAGCACTGAAAATAATAATTAAATAAATGCTAATTACACCACTCTCAGGGGGGAAATCAAGTTCTGAGAGATTTGATTTGATTCAAGAACCGACATCACAGCACTCGGGGCATTCCTATAAGCGCTTCGTCCCCATCTTCAGCAGCCAGCGAAGAGTTCTAATACTAATGGTGCCAGTAGCATTCTGATTGTTCTGAGAGAAGAAAATGTATTATTAAAAAGAATTATTCAATCTTGTAAATCTGCACAAGTTGTTAACATGCCAACTCAAACTGACTGTGTCCAGTCAATGGAAACGCCATCAGAACAACCTAGAAAACATGCAGCTCCAGATCACACATCAGTTAACTAAGTTAAAGAAGATATGTCACTAAATAGCAGTGGTGCACCATGGTGTGCCACTCTCTCGCACGGGACATAGCTCAAGTGTACAGAATTATCGGCAGTGCATGGAAGCCATTGACGCCAAGGTTATACACGTAAGTGCAGTACGCATTACTTCAGAAGCACTTAAGGTCCGAATAACGAAGGCAGCACTGGAAAACGAGAGAGTACTGGCAGCATGCTGAAAAAGAACGCCAGCATGAGCTGTAACTGAGAGCAGAAGAAAGGCAGACATCAGCTAACTCTCAATCCATTTCAGCATCTACAGACACAAGTTCGGAAGCTCAGCCTTTTCAAAATAGTTCAGCAGGAGCGATGAATTTCAATTTAAATCCATTTAATGACAAGGAGAAAGACATCGATACGTATTTGGTTGAGCGTATGGCTGAATCAGTGAAACTGGATAAAGAGAGGTGAAATCTGAAAGTTTCTCAGTGTTTATAGGAAGTAGCCTATGAAGTGTATGCTAGATTAGCACCTGGACAGAAAACTGATTTTGAGGCTCTTAAACAAGCACTGTTCAAACGTTATGAACTTACCTCATTGGCGTATCGTTAGAAATTCTGCAATGCCAGACATCTTTCGGGCGAGTCATACCACCAGTTTTCAGAAAGGTTACAAACTTACCTGTTTAAATGGGAAACTGTGTGGATATAAGCATATCTACACGGGACTGAAGAAATGCTCCTGGCCGAACAGTTGAGGGAGTCTATGACCAGGCCTATGCAAACATTTTTAGCTGAAAATGGTGCCAAACGACTAGGAGATATCGTGGTTTTAACGGAGAGATATCAAACGGCACACGGTGATAACCATCTTGTCAGGGTTAAGGGACCACCTCACCCAGAAAAACCCCGAACTCTAACCATCCGCAGAATAATGGAATGCCTCCCAATTTTAGACATCAGAACAAGGGCACAGCCAGGAGACCCACTCAAACACAGACCCAAACCTAAGCAATGCCAAGTTAGAGAAATCAACCTTTTTGCAAATACTGCAAAACCAATACTCATTTTACTGCTGATTGTAGGAGAAAGCCAGCACCACAATATGCAGCATGACTAGGAACCCACCAGAAGTTACCGACTACCCGCTACCAAGAAAAAACAAGGCTGATTTCAGCAGCAGTAGTTAGTGACCCTATCTACCCTATGATGCCCAGGTGCTTGTATGCCGAACCTCAAGCATCCGTTATTGCAGTTGCTGTACAGACCCGGACACAAGCTAATGCAAGTGCGGAGCCGACCAGCCCCTTGATGAATTCTCTTCCAGGAAAAATAAGGGCTAAGCTAAGGAGATTTTTGTATGGACGGCAACCTTTTGCACAGTAGGCCAGGAAAGGGGATACATAAACAGTCAGCTTGTAGTCCCCTAGGCCTACAGAAACCAAGTTCTCCATATGGGACACACCAGATCCTTTAGTGCACATATGGGTATAGGTGCTACTACCCAGCTCATTACCTGCCATTATTAGTGGCAAGGAATGACTGGTGACGTCAACAAATATGTCAAACTGTGCCCTGAGTGTCAGCAGGTCACAGACTGAAAAGAGGAAGGTCTTGAATGACGCAAGCTGAAGACACAATCAGACCTGTGTGAAGGCTTGATAAATTTGTGTGAGACGAGGGGTGTGTCAAAGTGCCCATGCAAGTTTCAGACTTGTGTAGGGTTCTTATCGTTAAAGTCATGAGTGCAGAGATGGCCAGCTACCAGAAGTTCAACAAATGATTCATGACCATTCCCCCTCAGGTGATGTGATTTTTTATACAGATGGCTCTGACAAAGTGCATGGGGGTTCATAGCAAAACAAATGGACTTCGCTTAGTGCAAGAAAGCCTGGCATGTTATATCATGTCTATTTAAGGAATGGAGGTGGAGGCAGTCTTCCGCTGGTTTGAGAATCAGCTGTACCCACACATGCCATGATTGTAACGGACTCAAAGAGCATGATGAGAAAGGTGGAGACAGGTATGCTCCGTGCAGAGTGGCAAGCATTACTTCAGAGGTCCGGGTAGTTAGTATCCCTTTGATCCTTCTAGGAGTGAGTGAGCGGTGCAGAAGGGCAAATAGATTAAACGGTCTGAGAAGAATAGCGATGCAAGGAGTAGCCAGGGAATCTGGCTGGTGTTCAACACTCAAGGCAAAGAAGAGAGGGATATGCCATCAGAACTGGAACTCTTATAGGAGTGTCTTGAGTGCTATTATGTTGATTCTTAATTGAACAATATCTATGGCTGAGCTATCACATTCATGGCCCATGAAGCTCACTATCTAAAGTAAATATTTCATTTACACCAAGTAACCTAGCCAATAAATGTTAACCAAAACAGCTTAATCAGTAAATACACTGAATCAAATCTTATTTAAGACAAAATATGAAACTCTGCTCTTAAGACAACTTAGTAAGTAGCCAAGTCTAAAATAAAAGCCACCAGAAAGCAACTTAAATCTATGTCAGACTATCAATAAGTCTTGTGATTTCCCAGGGTATGTATGTGTAAAATCTGCAATTTTAATACCGAAGTACAAGATACCTCCTGTAGTTGTCACCGTTTCATACCCTGTACTTTCACTGTCTCCAGATATTACAAGTCACAAGAAAAGAATTTAGATTTCCTATTACAATAAAAATAACGACACTAGCTAAAATAAAACATATGGCGACATTATATTATTTTTTTAAAAAACGTTCACTTCATTTACTGGCTCAACACAAACAGGGCTATACTAGTAAGACCCTTATAACGAGTTCTCAAATGGGTACCCAGCCGATATATCCTTCAGAGCACACCTGTCAGAGAGGCAAGAAACCAACATTCCACAAACAATTAAGCCAGACCCAGACCTTTAAAAATTGAAATGCATCCAACATTAGCATTATTATCCTGGAACAAGAAACAGTTTGGAAGTAGACAAACAGCCAGGACTTTTCAGCAAGTGAATGTAAAGATTAAGAAGCTCATAAAAAGTTATTCAGACTGCTCAGAATACAGTGAAACATTTCGTCTCTTCAACTTTTTCCCCGACTCTGGTGTAATTACTGCACTATCCTCAGATGATAAATGGGAAACTTCAGTAACATTCAAACACAACCCAGACATTCCAAAGCTTGTCCTTTCTGGCTTTAAAGCTGCCTTGTCTTGACTACTAGGGACGTGTGATGGTGATAACTGGCTATCACAACAGTCACTGGAGGTGCTCGTCACACGATTATCACAATGTATGGCACCATGAGACACATTAACACTGTGGACACAAGGAGAGGAACTGTCAGCAGATGGTGACACCGAAGGAATGTGTGATGAGGAGTTCAAGCTTTTGTTCCTCTGTGCCGACAGAATAGACAACAATTCTGCATCGTTATCATCTACATCCTCCTCAAATGACCTTTTAACAGGACCATTCTTTGCCGGGGTTGACGTCACAATATTCTGTTGTAACCGTAACAACTGCTGGCATGAACTGTCCAATGTTTCATTGGCAGTTTTGCATGTGTCTTGACTGGATGAAAGCCTTGAACTTGACACATCTATGCTGCTATCTACGGTGCTTGGCATGTCTTCCCCATCGCTACTTTCATAGACAGCATCACTGTCAGATGCCCTAGAACTATTATCCACTAATTCTTGGCACGATAGAAACTTCATGTTGGGATCCGTGATGCCCAACATACTGCACAAAAGTGTGGTCTGGGGGTTAACCCGAATAACTAAATCTTGCCTCCTCTGTCTAGAAGCTGCATCAGGATTGCCTTCAAGTGGAGGTGAAGTATGGACAAAGTTATTGGGTAGAGTTAGATCCCCTCCAAACGTATCCACCATCTTTTTTATTTCACTATCGTCAACTGTGAATTCATACCTGGAACCAAAAACAGGATCTTTGAGTTTTAAGTCAATGCAAAGGTAATTTCTAGCTTTCCCATCTACACCAAGTGTAATAAGTATTTTTTCTTCTTCTTCAGCTGTGTTTGCCCTCAAAATGGGGATCGGCACGTGTAGACATGATATCAGATGCCAGGCTTTGCTGCACTAAAATAGGTCCATTCGCTTTTGCTGTGAACCCCCATGCACTTTGTCAGAGCCATCTGTATAAATAATTAGGTCACCTGGGTGGGAATTGTCCCTGCACTCATGACTCAAGTGATATGAACCCTACACGCAAGTCTGAAACTTGCTCAGACACTTCAACTCATTCCTTTTCTCCCCCAAATTTATCAAAGCTGCACAAGTATAAATGTGTCTTCAGCTTGCGCCATCCAAGACTTCCTCTCTTCAGCATGTGAACCTTAGCTCTAACCAGGGCTTCACGCAGGAGGTGCTTCTTGTCTGCAGCTACTCTAAGATATGACTTTGCTTGTAGAACTTTGAGCCTGTCTACAATAGTAGGCTGTGCAACTATACTGCGCATATATACTATCGGGGTACGTCCAAGAATACCCGCATGGCTTCATTCTGTATGCTTTCAAGTTTCATTAGCTGACGCTTTTAAATAGAAAGCATTCCGGGTCCAAAATCTATCACCAACAGGATCACTGTGTTTCTTAAGATATTCAACAATGGATCTAAAAATCAAGCCTATATAGGGCGCATTTTTGGAATGCCTAGTGTACTTTGAGAACACCCTGCACCAATTTATTGGGAAGCCTAGAATCAAACTCTTTATCAAGCATGTCAAAATATAGCCCAAAAAAATCACAAACCTCTGAATCGTACACACAAGAAGACTGACTCGTATATTTATAGACATCCACTTGGGCATACAATAGCCAATGCAATTCATAATTCTGTCAGTATCTATAAAAACAATCAACATTCTTTATTTCAGTCTAGATAACAAACGCACCTTTCTCCACAGCCGGGTCCGGGCATATATCTGTTACTTGATGTGATATTCAACAAATGATCAGTTTTCTTCAGAATCCCCAACCATTCTGGATCTAACTTTATCTTCAGTGGTTCCTTTCCATGTGGAACATCAAGGACCTGATAGAGACACCAAACACAAAATTCTTTTGAAGGAAAAACAAAACAAAGGACTTTAGGTGTCATATGCTTACTGGAAATACATAAGAGCATTTTTTTTCTTTCTGGCGGTATGTGGCACTATCATTCCCCTCCCCCCAGCATTATCACAATATACATGTTATGGTGAGTAACAGCACCTCTCTAGACACCAGGTTACAAGTACCACCACCTTTACAGACATTTTCTAGGGAAAAAAAGCTCTTGTGATGAGCACATAATTATTTCAGAGAAACCACTATTAGATGTGGTAAAAAACATGTAGGCTGCCTAAATTCTTTTAGTGCTAATAAAGAAATTTTTTTTTTTTTAGAGATTTCCAAAATTAGAAAACCTACATTAAAATAGTTAGTTTTTGGGCCTCAATGACTTGATTTAACAAAAGATCAGTACAGAAATAATAGGCAAACATAACTGACTATATGGGGAAAAGTACACGATGCTGATTTTAGGTTGACTAAATAAATGTACGGTGAGCCGTTTAGTAATTTGGTAAACTTCCCAGTTCATTCAGTATAGGCTGGTGGCCCTGGCAGCCAAAGATAATCTACTGTGATGCGGATTTAAAGACCTCTGGACTAGCACCTAGACCAGGGCTATTTAACAGGCATACTAGGAAGTGGCCAAAGGATCACCTGCCAATGATCTGGCTAACATTGATCCCCATTTTCCAACATTCTGGCCTCTGAGTAACCTTAATTAATGGACCTGATCTAGACAATAATCACCATAGTTCCAATACTGAAAGAAAGAAAAAATATTATACTGAATCTATACTAAATTAACATTCACTTTCTTGCTCGCAAACACTACACATTTCACAACAAACAGATCAAATAAAGTTCAACTCCCAATACAAATGAAGACAAAGCATGTGTATGTACACACCCATAACCTTTTCTTTTCTCAATGTTTTCTGTCTTGACAATGAAAATATGCAACCACTACATTTTTCTTTGGGAATATAAAATACTATAGGTTTACAATCAAATTATCTGCAGCTGTATTCAGTTGAGACTAAACTACTAAATGGGGCTCTCAACGTCATAAAGATGCTTCTAACTCTTGACTATCTGGACACACTTTTAACAACCGCAGAAGTTAGGAATGCGTTTTGTAAACTGGCTTTGGGAAAGGCCCCAGGCAGAGATGAAATTCCTGTTGAGATAATCTGGGTGGGAAAGACATTCTTCAAAAACTCTGTAACTTCAGAAAGCAAGGCAAATGTGTATGACCACTTAACCACATGCCTCCATATAAATAAACAACTTACTGCACAAACAAAGACTGAAACAAGCAAAAACATGTGCACACACAAACCAAACACGCAACCATCACAAAATAAAACACACACCTGTAGGAAACTGCGCCGAGGTAAACATTTGTCAAGCGAGAGAAACTTTGTGCTCTTGCCAGGTGCTTGTTCAGATGCTGACTGGAGAGAGAAAGAAAAAACCACACAACTGATAAATGATGATGGCTTGGTTTGCAACATTCTTTAGAGGCCATGCAACTAAATATAATCTCTCTTTTGACTGTTCCTTTATTGGTTTGTTGTCCCACAGGAGACAATCACCAGATCGTCCAGTTACCAAACAATACAAAAGTCTCACCTATTAATCTACAGAATGCCCTATATCTGGTGGTAAGAAGGACCATCCAAACTATTCTCTATAAACTCGACAAAAAAAAATACAAGGTGTCATCTCCACAATGTAGGCCATCTGTAATGCATCCACTATTGGGAAGATTAACTCTCGGCCTCAATCTCCTCTATGGTTTGATTAAGGCAGCGGTTCTCAACCTGCAGGCCGAGACCCATTTTTGGGATGAATGACCCTTTCACAGAGGTCGCTCTAGACAACTGGAAAATACACACTCATTGCATTTATGAAGGAAAATAACTGGGTGTCGCCACAACATTAGGTAACTATTAAAGGCTGAGAGCATCTGTAATTCTCTCCTCCCCCTCCTTATATTACTCAACAAATGGTGTACATTTCCTGACTTCTTACCAACTACTGTGCTAATGATAAAGTCACCTAAAGTACATTCAATATGGAACAGAAACAGGTAAAAATTGTTCTTTTTTTTGGTCATAAATTAGGGGATTAAAAGAACAGTAGCTTTATAAGTTAAAGAAGACCTAGTATACAATTCTATTTACCTGATGTTGCACGTGAGCAGCGAACTTCACATGCAAGTGTGCAGCAAACCAGTAGGTGGGCTGTATATGACACAGTAGGTCAAACAGTGGTCCTGAGCCCAGTTTATTCTCCTCTATCTCTTGCCTGCCAAAAGACATCCCATAGTTTTATCAAGACAACACATCTACAGGTCATCATTATGCCTAATTCAATCTTTTTTTTTTCAAAAGTATCTACCACTTATTTTTTTCCTAATTAAATGAATAATAAAAGTCTACAGTGGTAAACTTTAATAAATGCCTTGGAAAAAAAATTAATTCAGGTACGTCTCATTAAAATGACACTAAAATATTGACCAGTTACTTTTTTCTAATTAAATGATCTGGTCTGGTCAGGTGCATTATCAAAGAGTTACATCAACATGTAAAAAAAAAGCACACAAAATTAATCTTGACAATATACAAATCATACTGTCTTCTCGCAGCCGGAAGTTCCAAGGTAGTCATGCTGTCACCAGGAGAGTCTGATACTAAGTACAAATTATTCTTTTTTTTTGCACAACGCAGGATTGTTCTTTTCTTTTTTTAAATGGTTATATAGTATTTCAAAATGTATGTCTATGCAGTCAGCATGAATAGTGCAGCTTAGTTCCCAACCCCCAAATAATACCTATAAGGTTAGTTGCGTATCCTTTACAGAACAGAACGTTGCAGAACCAACCCTAACAGTGCCTGGCTGGTTTTTCTAGGCACATTTGCGTCCAGTAGTTTGCCATTGCTTTCTGGGTGGTCAGCTTTCTTGATACCACAGTCGAAACCAACGCAAGGCCCGCAGCTGGGATTGAACCCGGCATTACAAAGCATTTGCATCAACTTAGCCACAGAGCCGACATAATACATAAAAGCCTTTCATATTTTCAGACACACGCCATTAAAACATTTTTAAAAAATGAAACCATACCTGAAAAACGGCTTCCGTTTGATCAGTGACGCTGTGTCCCCATAATGGTAGATACCTCTGGGCCAATCGTGTGAAATAAATATGTCCACGGGCCGGGTGATCTGTTTGAGCCGGAAAATCTCCAAGTTCCGGACATGGTAAACACTTCGTTTTGTGTGGTCATCATAGGGGGGCCTTTCAAAGTGACCACGGTTGTAGTCGTGCCCCTTAAATATGCCCGAGACCCCTCCAATACGAACATTACCAATTTGAATGATACCTCCATAACCTGGAATCAACAAGTTAGATATTACATATACCAGACATAGCATTATACGGTATGGTGAGTGAAAAGATATGTGCCTTGCTGTTGTTTCTTATTTATCTGTAGTATTCATTCATTGTCATTATGTCACCCTCAGCTGCCAGCCTATTTCTCCATTCCAATATATCTTGTGCAATCAGTTTAAATATCATGGATGAAATCCATTCCAGCAGCTTTGGCCTCTCTGGTTAGTGTTTGTTTTAGGGTTATTTTGGCATCAAAACCACGGTTTTATTTCTTATTTCAATGCCTGTCTGGAGATTCTCTGTTGGCTTCTCAGGATGTGTTCAATATAACGCCATATAATTGTTGATACTAGTGGTTGCCCAGACATTTATCTGATTTTTTCACTCCTTTTGACACCCCCCCCCCCCAACTTTATCTTCATAATTTTCCTTAGGCAACTTCATCAGCATATGTCAAAACAGAAAAATACATTCTTCTATTTTAACAAGCTCTAGTGTCAGTAGGTCAATTCTTTTACCCCAGAATATAATGGTCAGCAGAATAGTCCATAAAGCTAAAAGCTTAGCTGTAAACCAACAAAGGGACAACTATAATAAAGGGCAAATGCACATACCCATGTAGTAGATATTTGGGGCCACCCATCCTCCATAGGGCAACTCCTGCATGTAGTTGGAGGCTTCATGATTGCCTCCAATAAACACAGTCAGCACCGGGGCCAACTTTTCTCCACTGTAATACCTGAAAGTTGACAAAGGCACAGAAAGCATGTATCCCCACCTAGAAAATTACCAAAGGGGAAGACAAAGAATAAAACAGACCTATAATAATCCAAAACTCCTTGGTGAAATCACCATGGGATAGGATGAATTGATGGAAGCTGGCTGAGGGCCTATGGTGCCATTAGGATAGGACTGTTTAACTGGCAAATGACATATTAATGACCTTTGTGTGCAAGGGTTTCAGCCTGTGGCGATCACAAATTTCAACATTTTGGCATAAGAATATTTCTATAAAACTGCAAGGAATTCTAAACATATACTCATGTAAATCATCTGCAATGTGCTAACTATCTCGGTTAAAATTTGTTTTCCCTACTTTAAGTCTTATTGTGCCTGGGACTGTGGTTTAGGCGTTGCGTAAGAGTTTGTAATGTTAAAATGCAGGGTTCGATCCCAGCTGCGGATGGTTTGTCTTGTATTGGTTCCAACAGTGGTGCTGTAGATGGGGGGAGGGGGTGGTTAGCCCTCAGCCAGTAAAATTAATATTGCTGATTTATATTTTAATTAAGGCTTTTCAAGCTGTAAGGGTAATTTTGTAAGTTTTCTCAGGGAACTGACTATTCAGGGTTTCCATGCTTAAATTTTACCATTCCTGGTTAATTACAAGTTTATCTATATATAATGCCTAGATAAGTATACCTATAATGTCTAGATAAGAATCCATATGTATTTAAGCAACAGTATCAAGTAGCTATTTAACCATTTTATATTTATATATATTGTAATGCTATACAAAGGGATAACATCAGGGTATGATTGAGTGACAGAACTGGGGAAATCCCTAGTGTGAGAAGACAGAAATGAGCAATTCACGTGTAAATGCGAGATCTGGGGGATTGCGGATAAGGTACTCATTCTTTGACCGGACTAAAAAGTAAAAGGAAGTGGAACTGAATCCAAAGTGTTAAGTATGAACGTGGATCTGGATATGAATCGAGAGAACATTTGTCTTGAATGACAATGGGCAAGGCTGTGTTAAATTACTATTCAGGACAGCAGTTGGGTTCTAGGGCCTGTTGGTTATGCCAGTCGTGTACATGCCAGTGCCCATCGCCTGGTTGGAGACATAAAGTGTGAGCAAGGTGAGCTTGCCCGAAAGCATAAGTGATGAGTTCTACTCTTAATTCTTGTCGCTCGTGTTGTATCCACAATAAACCTGTAAATTGTTGTCAACTTTCGCCGACTGTCATTTAGAGACATATGACAGTGTGAGAGAAGAGAAGTTTGGGTGGAATGAACTGTGACATAAAAACTGTGACAACAGAGCTAGTGTTGAATCTACACAAGGGGGACTAAGTGCGGAGGAGACACATTTTATGTATGTGTATGTATGTATATATATATATATATATATATATATATATATATATATATATATATATATATATATATATATATATATATATATATATATATATATATATATATATATATATATATATATATATATATATATATATATATATATATATATATATATATATAAACACACACACACACATATATATAAACACACACATATATATATATATATAAACACACACATACACACACACATATATATATATAAACACACACATACACACACACATATATATAAACACACACACACACACACACATATATATATATATATATATATATATATATATATAAACACACACATACACACACACATATATAGATATATATATATATAAACACACACATACACACACACATATATAGATATATATATATATAAACACACACATATATAGATATATATATAAACACACACATACACACACACATATATAGATATATATATAAACACACACATATATAGATATATATATAAACACACACATACACACACACATATATAGATATATATATAAACACACACATATATAGATATATATATAAACACACACATACACACACACATATATAGATATATATATAAACACACACATACACATATATAGATATATATATAAACACACACATATATAGATATATATATATATGTGTGTGTGTATGAGAAACCTAGCCATCACAGGAGAAGGTATGAGAAACCTAGCCATCACAGGAGAAGGGATGAAAACAACAACAGGACAGAAGAAGAAAACAAATGGTTTCTGTAATCAAACAACGAAAAGTCTGGTGGTATGAACCCTGCGTTAAAAAATATGACACCCCTGTTTGAGAACAGCTGCAAACAAAATCGAAGACATGTGTTAGAAATAAAGAAATGATTAGAAAACTATTGTAATAATATTTATCATTAAATTCACTGAGAGAAATAGAGGACTTCAGCTGTTCGGCCACCTAGTGAGGATTAATGCAACGTTGCTGGCATCGAAGGCACAAGATGTGAATGGAAACAACAAGAAACAGGGGAAAACCTGAAGAATATGGATTGAAGGAGTCACTGAGAGCTTAAGACCTCACAGCACAGCACACTATGCAACAGTGTGCCCTGGCTCGGCTATATATCATCAATTAAACTGCAACACAAAGCACAGATACTGACAAAATAGAAGTCTGATAGTTATTAGACAACATCGAAATATGGTTGTGATGAAAACAAATACGCATACACGATCTGACATGTATCTTGAGTCTGGCATGACATCTGTCTAACTTACTTGTAGAAAGTATTTAACTTTTGGAATTTTGGAGGGACGGCCATAGCCTGCAGGTCATCAAAGTTGCGGACTGCTTGAAAATCTCCACAGATGATTAAAAGGTCAATCTGAAAACAATAATTCAAATAATCACATTGACAGAAAACTATGCTGCAATTACTGAACAAATCCAAAGAAAAAAATCTGATTGAAATGAATCATATACCACAAGGCATTGCCCTGTGAATAGAATGGCTTAATAAAAGCTGAGTGTGTCACACACACACAAAAACTAACTCTGCAGCTCTTGTGACACAAAATTTAAGTACCCTAAAAAGAATGGAACTAGTGGATTTAACAACAATGCAGAGCACAAAACAACTAGTCATGGTCCCTAACATAAAAAAGGTAAAGCCACACACACACACATTAAAACATGTTGACAAGTACTGAGTAAGCCTGGTGACACTTTTAGCTTGGTAAACAGCTGAAGAAAAACAAGTAAGCTGCACATTCTTTACAAATCATTGCCAACCCACCTCAGCAGTTTTAGCACCTATGTGATTTTACTAGGCAATTTTATGCTTAGACTAGATATAATTGCCCCACTCTGCGCGGGGTAGTAAAAGAAACTGTTATTCTTGTCCAGGTCTCCACCACTGTATGTCGTAAAAAATTCACAAAGAAGTGAACGCAACATAAGCCTTCCATCTTTAAGTTTTTCTTGGCTGTTTTCATTTCCTAAACCCACTAGTGTCCCATTTCAGTGCATGTCTGGTGATTCTCTGAAGTTTCTGTAGCAAATAAACTTGTACAAGGTGTGGGAGTTGGCCCCCAAGACACAGCACGAGGTGGAGTGGTAAGAGCATTTTAGGCCAGTTCTTACTATAGATAGCGATACCACCACCTTTGCAACCATTTGGGGTGATGGGGCAGGGACGAGAGCATGACTCCGGGTTAAAATTTGGCATGTTGGCAGTCCCCCGTTTCTGAATGATAAAGCAACAACCTGCCCAGACACCCCTATGTATCACAGGAGAAATGTAAAAAAAAAAAAATTTCAAAATGCATATATTAACACTGAAAGTATAGATTTACTAATTGTTACAATAATAAAAAAAAAAAAAAAAAACAACTACACAATAACCTGACAGCCAGTGTGACTATTATATTAAACACTAGGTATAATGACAAATGAAAATTTAACTGTATAATTACTATAATGGTCACATTGTGGGAGGAGTTACCAGTTAATTTATAATGAACCACAACATAAAGAAATAGTTTGTTTATGTATAGTATAGATTACCAGTGCTGCCTGAACTCCTGGGTGTGCAATAGCTGATTTGTTTTGACTGCTCCTTCCATTGTCAAAGAAATGCAAATTTAGTGGCAGGCTGTACTGGTCAGCATGGCTACCTTGTGCATTTATTGCAAAAGTATACTCCTGACTTTGCAGAAACTGAAGCCTATTTAATTTTTTTTCACAGGGGACAGTGATAGGTGTCCTGTGTAGTTTTTTTTTCCAAGGGACAGTGACAAGTAAGTGTCTAGTGTAGTTTTTTTTTCCAATGGACAGTGGCATATGTCATGTGTAGTTTTTCTAAAAGATAGTGACAGGTGTCCTGTGTAGTTTTTTTTTTACAAGGGACAGTGACAGGTGTCCTGTTTAGTTTTTCACAAGGGACAGCGACAGGTGTCCTGCATAGTTTTTTTTTACAAGGGACAGTGGCATATGTCATGTGTAGTTTTTCCATAAGATAGTGACAGGTGTCCTGTGTAGTTTTTTTACAAGGGACAGTGACAGGTGTCCTGCATAGTTTTTTTTACAAGGGACAGTGAAATGCGTCCTGTGAAGTTTTTGAAACAATTATAGGGTGACCCAATTGCCTAAAAATAGAACTGGCATTTCCTAACTAATAACAACTAAATTAGGAACACAAACCTTGAATCCATTCTGTCTCTCCAGTTCACTGACAGAGTCATATATCTTGTCCAGCTCTCCATGGCAGCAACCTTCCACAGCAATCTTCATGTTGATGACTAGTGAAGCCCACACACAATCAATAAAATGCTGTGAAAGTTTGAAAGTTAAGGATGCACATTAAAGTTTACATACAGGCTTTATTATTAAGGTGCTGTTACTGTTAGGTTGGGTAAGGGTGTAACCAGGTGTGATGGTTTCAAAAGTGTCAGGATATGCTTAGAATTTTAGAAAATTTCCAGACACAGATAATCCATGTAGGTACTTAAGTCAAATTTTCAAAATGCCCTCTACACCAATAAAACCAGCACAGATAGCTGTAAACAATCTCTTTCCAACGGTACCTCATTTAGGCTTGTATGTCATTTCTGAGCTGAGATATGTAGGTTTTTGTGGAGATGAGATGTAAAAAACAGCTGAGAAACAAGAAGTTTTCTCTGCGCAACTTTCGTTTTGGCTTTGTTTTCATTGGACAAGATGGCAGACAATTTTTCTCAGACACAGCCACATATTAGCGATTGCCTGAAAAAAGTCACTGTACATCTAAACAGCCACAGACGAGAAAGAAATTATATACACAAATGTAAAATTGGACTGAGAATTCAATTATAACTAGCATTACCACGTCTGGTAATGTTTAAGGCCTAAAACCAACTTTGAATACTCACCGCTATTTTCAATCAAACTGATGTAACAGAAAAACAGAGGACGTCCGGTTGTCGTAGACATGCGCTGTTAATCGGATCCGTTCCCGCCGTTTTCAGCTGTTTATAGCTGGTGAAAATCACACCAATCGCAAAATTTCATGAGAGATTGGGACCCATCCCGAAACCCCAGCCGACATTTCCCAAACAAGTTTTGAACGGTTTCCATGGTAACAGAAATTGCCAAAAAGACCGCAAATTGTTGAAACTAGTCGCTAATCCATGTGGCCCTGGAACCCAGAAGGGCGGTCACGGGTAATGTAAATAAAAAAACTATTCCTCCCCCCACTTGAATTTATTGTACTCCTCCTCCCCATGACGCTTAATTTATCAACATCTACTCCTCCCCTCTGATGTTTTAACAATGCACTGAAATCTATTCCTCGCCACCAAGACGCTTCAACAGATGGAAAACTATTCTTCCCCATGACCCTAAGCTTAACGTCTAAAAATGTGTCTCTCCTCCGAACTTTATCCCCATACTATGGCGGCCAAATAAATACCCTAACTGGGCCTCAGTTGTGTATAAAATGCGGACTTCTTCCTACAAACACATCAGTGCGGCAAAACTAGGATTACTGTCCATACGCAACAATGGCAGGAAGACCACACGGTCCAACGCAGGTTAGAGTAGCGATAGTAGGCTATCTTCCGAATAACTGTCTTAAATTATCAAGGCCGAAAATATACCCTAACGAGGCCTCAGTAACATGTATCTCCCACGCCGCTACGCGCGGAATTCTGAGGTTTCCCGAGTAATGCTAATGAATTGACCTCGTGTAAAATATTTCCGAAAACTTACGGACATTGTTTTGGATGGTGACCAGGTCACTTCCGGTAGCGGAAGTTTCGACTGACAGCCTGACTAAAGTGGCAACTCTGCACAGGACTGAGGCCCTGTTAGGGTATCTGTTTGGCCGCCATAATATCGGGTAGAAGTTCAGAGGAGATCCGTGAGTCCTTTATAACAGGTACAATTTCAAAAAAAATATAAAAAATGACGATTTATCTGGTAGTCTTAGTTTCAGCTTCATAGCAAACGGACTGCTGTCTCATCATAAACAGTCCAAAATTAGAAATGCAGTTCATCATTGCATTGATGATAGCAGAACTTGTCGCCAACAGATCGCGCCTTCAAATTTTCTAAATCTACAATTCACACCACCACGTTGGTCACAGTTTAAAAGTCAAATGCAATCCGCAGCTCACGATTTATAAACCTGACTGCTGAATGACTAATGGTAAACTATAGATAACAAAGCTGGCTTCAGTTTTCACATAACTACAAAACTACTCTTACTTACCGGTAGCGTGTAAACTGTGACAAATGTGATGTAGAGTCAACGATGTACAAAAAGTTACTTATCGGAAACTGGTACTCTGCTAAATTTTAAAATCTTTTACTTCCTAGTAAAACAAATGAAATCTTAGAACAAAACATTCATATTAAAAATGTAAGCCGAGAAAGTAAACAGGTATTCTGTTGTCACTTTTTAATGTGACAATGAAACAACTAAGTGTAATACTAATACACAGACTCCCTCACAATTTGAAACAAGAACGCTTCCCTGTAAAATACAAAACTTGTAGTGCCACAGGAAGTTGATAAAAAAACTCAACTTGATCACGTGGTTCAGAAGTGAATTTAAATAATAAGAACATGCACAATATTTTCTAGAAGAAAATATTGTGCATGTCCTTATTATTTAAATTCACTTTTTCGACAGATTATTGCACACAATATTTTCGACAGATTATTGCACACAATATTTTCGACAGATTATTGCACACAATATTTTCGACAGATTATTGCACACAATATTTTCGACAGATTATTGTACACAATATTTTCGACAGATTATTGCACACAATATTTTCTACAGATTATTGCACACAATATTTTCTACAGATTATTGCACTCAATATTGTCGACAGATTATTGCACACAATATTTTCGACAGATTATTGCACACAATATTTTCGACAGATTATTGCACACAATATTTCCATGTATCTTGTCAGGTGCATTACTGCATTAAACAGTCGAAATCGACGATAGCTAAACTTAATTAAAATAAAAGTAAATACCATAGAAGAGTGACAAGCAGGAACCCAGTGCCAGTTTAAACAAGAAGTCCTGCTGGGATCCCTAGGAGTCACCTATTCCCTGGGCCCATCTGCGTTTCGGTCGGCCCCTGCCCCTCCTTCCTGGTACCATGCCTACTGCTATAATTTTTTCCAATCCGTTCTGGCGCTTGATATGACCAAAATATTTCAGCTTCCGAGAAAGGATGCTGTTTATTAGCCAATCTTCCCTGATGTTCAGATCTTTCAAGATGTCAGTATTTTTCATCTTCTTTGTCCATATATACATACTTCATAATTTATTTATACAGTGCTTTTCCGAAGTCGTGCCCTCACTTAAACAAATGTCTCCATAATTCCTGTACTGATCAACATGAATTCTGGCTTGTGGCCTAAGATTTCCCATGTCCTTATGATTTAATAATTGACAGATGCTGCTCATTTCTTAGAGCAACGAATTTATTTGATCTATGTTTGACTAAGAATAGTTGTACCCCTAACAAATTAAATTGACTGCAATTGACAAAAGCGTGAAGATTATTAGGAAATCTTTTAACATGTGCAGCGATGTGTTGTGATTATTTTGATGGCCTGTCCAGCATACAATGCTGGAGATGACCACAAGAGAGTAAAACGCCTACGAAACATGTGCAGTTTTATGTTTTGAAAAGTTAATGTTACTCTACTAACTGAAAGCGTGAAGACTGTTTGCTGTGAATCTTTGTTTGTTTTCAAATGGCCCCAAATAAGGCAAAATTCAAACTAGATGTTTGTTTACGCTATTGTTTTTTCAACAAGGACAAGATTATCAACAGTTTGCATGCCAAATTTAAACAGTTTATACTGAACAGTCACTAAGTTACAGAATTGTAAAGTTCGGTACGCCTGCTAGAATGCACTCTAGTCATAACCCCACACAAAAGTGTCAAATCTGGATCAATTTATAAGTCTTTCCAGGTAACGATTACACTGGGGAGGGTATCACGTGAAAATTTCTTCCTCGTTGCTTCCCAGATGAGAATATTTCCGCGCGCAGCTAGCATTGTAGTATTAGTAATTATTCTTGATTTTCCTCATGCTCTGTGTTCATTATATTTCTTTAGCTTGGCTCTCTGTGGAAGTTGGTACCAGTGCATTCTCGCCAGGTGGCCAGACCATCTGATTTTTTGTTCTTTAATGCACTTTTCAACTTCTAATTTCTTCGTTCCTAATGTTATCTCTTCTTGTCACACCGACATCTCCTTTCCTTAGTAACCAACGAAAATATACACGCTAATAATACAACTTGCACATTGATTAAATACCCGCCTCCTTTTCCCCTTTAATGTTGAATACTGTATCTTGACGCTTCCCTTGGAACTTATTCACCCCCCCCCCCCCCCCCCCTTTTCCAGGTTTGAGACTACTGGCATAGCACAGTACAACACTATAGTCAGCAAAGACAGAGGTGTCAACAACAGCCAACCTGACACGTGTGAATAAGGAAACAGTGATTATCTATCGACACGTGGCCAGGCTTTATCCAACAGCTGCAGTTGTGCATTATTCGTTGAACAATACTGTTATAAAAATGAACTATACGGTGTATTTTTAATGAATATTTATTCAAACTTTTGTAGATCCTACTTTTGTAATCACCGTCTGTGGAGTTAATGAAAAATATACTGCCATTGTACGTCTTATTTTGGGTATTGTTTTCCAGATTAGAGCTTTATTTACAATCTATGTTTCTTCTTCCTTCCCCTCCTCCTCTTCTTCTCCTTCACCTTCAATGGCTGTAAACAGTATTAGAATGAGGCATGTGAGTATCAGAAAAAAACATAATAAATTGTTGAACAGTGACATTCAAATACCTGCCAATGGTAAAAACACACGAGCAACCAAAAATACCCTTTCTTCAATAGTGGTGGGCAAATAATTGATTAAAAAAAATATATATATATATTTAAACATGTAGCGTAGATAATTAAATAGTGTTATTCTATTTACCTTTTTTCTTTTTAACGAGCAAAAGCAATCGAGAAGCACAGTTTAATGTCTTTTCTGTCTGTATTTACGTCTTTTTAGGAAGCATAGGACTGTAAAATGTAAGAAATGATAATAACACTGAAGAAGCGGGACAGCAGAGTCGACATAAACATAACATTAGGTCCCTGAGAACTACAAAACCATAACTTGCCCGTGCGTATGTATTACTTATACATCTGGCAACACTGCTCGAAAGTCAGGCCCCGAATGACGAGAGGGGCAATAAGGGCCATG